CGGAGTCAAATATCCCGATCCCATCATGCACAACGATTTCCGGTTTTCCGTGTTCACTTGTTGTTGTACTAGCGCGCTGAGCGGTATAGATCGCATGTGCGCCGGAAATCTTTGTGCATGATGGGATCGGGATATTTGACTCCGTACTTCGGTCTAATGAAGACGGTCGCAAACTATCCTGGTAGTTGGGAAATAGTAGGATATTTTGCAAACTAGACCGATATATCTTGGGATATTATCCCGACCAACTATCCAGCTAATTTGCTACTTCGGTCTAATGAAATGCAAATTAGCTGGATAGTTTCGATCGGGATAGTTCAAACAGCTGGATATTTGGCAATCTCGAGATAGTGAAGATGGGCCTAATGTTTGTGGGTCACGTTCTTTCCCTGTATGTGTTGACACCTGTTCCACTTTCAGTCTTCTATCTTTCCAATTGTTTATTTTTGGGGGGTTATATGAGGAATCAGCACCTTTTAGAGATGTCACAATTGCTTTCAAAGTTTAATCATGTGCTGAGGAACATGATCTGGGAAGGGTTTTCTCCTGGTAAAAAGATGGAGATGTTAATGTGTACTATAGTATAGACCCATTTACACCATAACAGCTCAAACACTGTTCTGAAAAAAATTTGGATTTTTTTTTTTTACTGCCGTTTACACTAGACTGGAAAAACCCTTTAAAAACGTTAACGTTTGCTCATTCCGATTTTTTGGTGAGCTGCTTGTCACTACTCTGCATGCGATTGTACAGGAGCGAAAAACCACAATCATTTAAAGGTAATACAAAGTTTTGGTATGGGGTCATGAATTTGGTTCAAATGAACATATCGGGAAGCATATAAGATCCGACAATATTCATTGATAGTCGTCGCAGTTGAAATCAAGTCTAAAGTTATGAAATTGAAAATAATAACTCTTTATGTTGTATAGCCCCCTCTCAACGTCAAGATGTCAATTAAGCTATAAAAAAATGTTTCTTGACTAAAATCGACCGATTAGCTATTCCCATTTGGAAATTATATATCACAACTACATATTCTGAGATTTTCACGGTCGCAGCTACCATTAAACGGCCGTAGGCGCTATATGAAATTTATCAATATTCAATTTTTCTCAAAAGCAGAAGTGTTTAAGGGGCTAAATTTCATAGTGCTTATAATACATACAGAGGGGCATCCAAATATATCAAAATTGTAAAGAATCACTATCCACCCAGTTTTCAAAATTCCCAATACTTTGTATTACCTTTATCAATGTTGTTGTTTATTTTAGGCAAGTCAGTCAGTTTATGACCATTATTGCCAAATACTATCAACTTAACATATACACTCACATAATATGCATGTTTCGTTATACAGTATGTATATTTTCTTTCCCTGAAAAAAAAACGAAACAAAAAAGGGGGGAGATAATGATATAATGTTTGAGAGGGGGCATTATTGAATACACTGCAAATGTGAGTTAATCGTCAGTGTTAATGCAACTACCGGTAATCACTGGGTTCATTCTTCTCTTTATTATGTGTCCGTTGGGTTCATCTCGTTTACAACAGTGTTCCGTTGTATAAAACTTCCCAATTTGTGAGTCCATTTGCAGTTTCAAGAAGAAATAATGCTTTTTTTCTTCATATTTTAGAATTAATATGGATGCAATATACTTTAGGTAGTTGAAACTGCCCTTGGTACCAAACTGCATCGTACAAGGCAGAGCTCTTCTACACTAGGGTCTCGACTAAACTCCATTTAATTCTCCATCTTTGGAAAAGGGGGAGGGGCAAGTTGCATACAAATCAGGCTTCTCTTCACGATGTTGTCATCTTACTTGCCTCAAAGTATTGGAGCTTTCTTTGTGATGAGGCTGTTGTTAGAGCATCTGAAGCGAAAGATTGGGAGTTTGAAATATTCATATTTAGTGTAAGCAGATGACTGAAACAGGTTGTTTTTTTTTTTTTTTTTTTGGGGGGGGGGGGGGGGTAAAACGTGCCCCTCCCCCTTTCCAAAGATGCAGGCTTGAAAACAAGCAAAACCCTGCCTCTCATAAAGATAGAGTTTTGTATATTTTGTGCCCTACATGCTAACAACTTTTCCAACGTACAGGTAGATGAATTTCATGATACGCTCTGCAGTTTATGCTTCATTATTATTAGTTTATATATATTTTTTTCGTGGGGAGGAGGAACCTTAATCTCTCTCTCTTCTCTCTCTCTCTTTCTCTCTCTCTCTCTCCTTCTCTCTCTCCTTATTTTCTTTTCTTTCTTTCCGTCTCCCTCTCACTTTCATAATATCATTCTACCATTATTAGGAAATACTTTCATATGCAGTGGGAGTTGATGAAGAGAATGGAAATGAGTTGTTTCTGATAGAGTCATTTACATCAAGGCAATTGGTATTGTGGTTTCATATCATTGAATTTTTAGGGTAGCCCGTGCACTCTGGCTAATGTACTAAGCAGAAAACCCAACTTTAAATGGGGTATTGTGCCACTTAAAAAGGTCAGAAACTCAATTTAATTTTTTTTTCCTTTCCTAAGGTTGCCAACTTTTGCTACAATTTATGAGAGAGAGAGAGGTATCATTGCCCCACATTATATTTTGTGCGATAATAATGCATAATCTTTGGGCATTTTGACACGAGAAGGATTTTATCATAAATGTACATTGTATTCCTCTAACCATTCACATTGATTACATGTACAGTTAACATTTAAATTATTCATACCCCTTGTAAAGTTGATGCTTTTTGTGTTTTTCGTGACTCAAGAACGAAAGGTGGACTGGTTGAGTAAGGAACTTTGTTGAATACTTTTAATAGATTCAAGATTCAAGATTCAAGATTATTTTATTGGTCCATGCATGCAAACATTACATAGAAATTTTGCTTCCAATGGCTTTTTTGACAGTGAAAATACAAATGATAGAAAATACAATATAACATTAACAATAGAAAACTATGTACATAAATATGGATAACTATTTATAGTGTGCATATGCCCCTCAATTTCCTATTGCCTACATTTAACATGCGTCATAAATTAAAATGTCTCATAATATAATATAGTATTTCTCGTCACCACCCCCCCCCCCCCCCCCCCCCCCCCCCATCCGCTAGCTCCCGATCCACAGATGGTTTTGGATTTGCAGAAAAATAACAGGAATAAATACATTTACATTTAGATTTCATAATTATAAATGCGTGATATAATTACGCAACACTTCTACAGTAAAATGAAATCTTAACGATTGAAGAAATCAAGTTAACAATTTACCGGCACAATCGTATGAATAAATAACATGCGTCATAAATTAAAATGTCTCATAATATGACCCAACCCAATATGTCACATTCTCAAGAAACATAATTCGGGACAAGTCAATTTTTCACATACAGTACTTTAAAAAATGATATAATCAGTAAGGGTATGAATAATTCAGTTGTTAACTGTATATATCTCTAGCTATTCATATTGCTGAAATGTTAATCTTTTACAACAGATTAAATGATTAATCCCTATTTTTTCATTGACCTTAAATGAGGGCAGTAATAAGATCTCAAGTTTTGCTGTGCTATACACATATATTGTAACTATACAACATGGAAGTTTAATTGAAAAACATTGACAAATACACTTGTATCTGCAGTTCTATAGTCTTTGAGCTCTATAGTTCTACAGTCAAGGGGGGGGGGTGGTGAAAGAACAACTTATATATTGAATTTAAGTTTCTATATGTTGATATTTTACCTGATTTCATTCAGTCAATGTTTTCAAGCTAAATCAAACACAAGGCTATCGATTATTTGTTGCTTTTACTTTGAGGGTTTTAATTATAGCCTTTTCAGTGGCTTCCTAATGATAATTGCGTGTCCAGTGTGTTATGGGCCATTATAGAGTCAAGGTTGAACACTAACATTGTATGTTTATTATCTAAAGAGTATGATATGGAGTCAGGGATACAATAGGACTGACTATAATATCATAGTGTACCAAGTGTGAAGTGGACCGTTTGAGAGGCTGTGGGTCGGGGTGTCTTTAAAGTAACCTTCATGGATCTGTTCACATTTCTCTTGAAGTGTGAACTAGGCAAGATTAAATGTGTGGCGATTAGAGATACTAGATCACGTGACGTCACATTTCCAGAACAATAACATGGCCCGTGCGTGAAGGTGAAACGTGCGATGATGATTCTTCCAAACATTGATTGTTTTGTCTTTCACGCTGTATGTCAAAGCTTGTGTCCCGTCTAGACTGCTGATGACCTAAACAGAGTCAATTACTTCCGATTAGCGCCACTGATCACTTCTCTCTAGGCCTGTATTGTCTTTATACTATCTCTGCAATGCACAAATATAATTCCATATATTTTAGACTACCGGTAGTGTTTCAGATTACTTTATTCTGACAAGGGATATAATGAGTGCACATACATCGTAGATGGGTTAGAAGCCACAAATGTTGACATACTACCTCCACAAGTTTCTGTAGTCACTTATGAGCATGGTATGCCCTAATGGGGGACTTTGATACAAGGTAAACAAATTAAACTAAAAGAGAAACTAAGAAAATGGCTTAAGAACTTGAGTCAAAGGATGCATCCTGAAATAGAGCACTTCCTTTAATAGCAATGTTGCTGAGGCATAATATAATAGTAATAGATTTGTATGATATATGTAGGAAATTTGACATGGATAACTTCACTTGTCATCATTAGTTTTTGTTTAAATATAGTTCAAGTAATTTACGTCACTTCGAAATATGGTTCCATCTAGGTCTGAAGTTCATACTAATCATTTTTGAAAATTAGGATTATTTCAATCCAAATTTTAGTTGATATGTACTTGTAGAAATGTTAGCAGCTCTTTGGCTGGTCATTCCATACATATTACCTTTTACATGTTTATTTTTCTTTGTTTGTTCAGGTTAATTTTTCTTGTCTTTAAAAAAAATATTAGTTGCTGTTGTGTTAAATTAATGAGTTCATTTTATATTTTGAATATTGTTCAGGTCAAATACCAGAGAAAAGCATACAAGCAAGTCCAAACAAGATACAGCCCTCGTAGAGGATGTCTATAGCAAGGCAGATGATGGTGATGATATTGATACCCAGAAGACTGACGATGAGAGTGGAAGTATGCCCTCATTCATCGCACTGGACAGTGATTCTAACCAATCCACACCTGACGATTCAACATCAAAGAAAACGTCCTCCTTACATTTTGGTAAGTGTTACCAGTTTGATTTTTTTATAGAAGATGGTGGAATATGCAATGTGTAGTAGTCTGCAAGATCAGACACTTTGTTTTCATCAACAGGACCTTGTTCATGAAATGAGGCAGTAAGAAAAAGGGGCTGTCACAAAATACAAAATGATAAAAACGTCTTCCTTACATTTTGGTAAGTGTGGCCAGTTTGATTTTTATAAGAGACAATGGAATATGTGTAGTCTGCATGATCAGACGCTTTGTTTACCTCGTTCACGAATGAGGCAGTAAGAAAAAAGGGCTGTTGCAAAATATAATGAGGAAACGTAATGCATGTAGAGGTGTCGTGGTCGAATGGATATGTCACAAGGTCCACGGTTCAAGTCCTGCTGCGGCACTAATGTCCTTTGGCAAGACATTGATCTGCATTTGCCACTCTCCACCCAGGTGTAAAATGGGTACCCGGTACGATGCAAAAGTTAATGTGGTTTGATTAGCAAGTGGCACTTGTAAAGTTGCGACTGGCTGGAGTCCTCCCCAGGAAGTGGCAAATGTTTATACATTGCGTTGCGGGTAAGCCTGAACCCGATGACCGGGGTAATAATATGTGCTGCACCTAGAAACAAAGTATTAGGCGCATTATATGTGTGAGCTATCATCATCATCATGTTTGTCACAAATAATAATACATACCGGTAAGCCTACAATGTACATGAAGATTAGGGTGTGTAAAGGCCTCTTTTTGGGTCTAGTGGTTTGTATTTAGCCTCAGAGTTTACCCCCTTCATCTTCGAATGGTATTTTCTTCTTGTACTAGTAATCTTACTAAAAAAGAATCTTAGATCAACATTTGATTAATCAAGCCTACCCTTTGAAAAAATCCAACAATTTGGCTTTCAATGCTGGTATTGATTATTTTCTGCATATAGCAAGGTCTGAATAATCTGAGCTCTAGACTACTCCTGCAATGTATTGATGAGAGGAGCTGATTTAGGCTTGTTGCAAGTCATCTTGAACGTTATTCCATGTATACTACTGGAAAAAAACATTAAAAAAGTCATAGTTTTAGTAGTGAGTAGTGCACATGCGCGAATCGTCGGTGCCCTGCATGCATTAATACGGAGGCGAGGAGATTAGAAATCAATATCTTACCATACTTTAAACACTGCAAAAAATTGAAGAAACTTTAAAAAAAACAAACAAACACTACAGAGGTGGATTTTTCATCGTGTTTGCCGGTAGTTGCTTCCGGCAGAAACACGGGAATGTGAGAAAAATCTATGATTTTTGGTTGAGGTGTAAATGCAGCTTGTGTCTGGAGACCAGTAACCACCACCTGGTATCCCCTGTGTAACTGAAGTGGACAATTTGATTGACCTTTCACCTTTACAGGCTGATCTAAAGATAGAAAAGGTCCCACTGCCCTTTACCCCAACCTTACATCTAGGTCAGTGCAAAATTTATTTTTGCAAAAATTGGAAATAGAAAGTAAAGTTCCCAGAAGGGGCAGATGTTCAAGTACTATCAAGTTCAGTTATTAGAGTCATTTTTTAATTATCCTGCACATTGAAGATTTTTACCATTCATAGAAATGGTCAAGAGAAGTGTGAATTTTTTAGAATTAGAATAATGGGAATGATCTGTTACTACTAGGTAGATTCCATCAAATAAAGTTATGTACTTACCCAGGTCGAAATTCCTTTAGAAACCAGTAGAAACCAGTAGAGACATTCTAATGGTTTTACTGGTTTTCAAGAAACCATTAGAGTCTAATGGTGATCAGGAGGAACTGTGAAGTAAAACCAGTATAAACCTTTACAAACCAGTAGACTGTCATGGTTTAAAGACCAGTAGAAACCAGTAAGATCTAATGGTTTGAACATGGATGCACAAATCTTAAGTCAAACCATTAGACACCTTTACAACCAGTAGAGCCTAATGGTTTTGAAGACCACTAGAATCCGATAGAAACCAGTAGGATCTAATGGTTTTAACATGGGTGTAAAAATCCTAAGTCAAACCATTAGAAACCTTAACAAACCAGTAGAGCCTAATGGTTTGAAGACCAGAAGAAACCAATAGAAACCAGTAAGATCTAATGGTTTGAACATGGATGCACAAATCTATAAGTCAAACCATTAGACACCTTTACAAACCAGTAGAGCCTAATGGTTTTGAAGACCAATAGAATCCGATAGAAACCAGAAGAATCTAATTGTTTTAACATGGGTGTAAAAATCCTAAGTCAAACCATTAGAAACCTTAACAATCCAGTAGAGCCTAATGGTTTTGAAGACCAATAGAATCCGATAGAAACCAGAAGAATCTGATGGTTTTAACATGGGTGTAAAAATCCTAAGTCAAACCATTAGAAACCTTAACAAACCAGTAGAGCCTAATGGTTTTGAAGACCAATAGAATCCGATAGAAACCAGAAGAATCTGATGGTTTTAACATGGGTGTAAAAATCCTAAGTCAAACCATTAGACACCTTTACAAAACCAGTAGAGCCTAATGGTTTTGAAGACCACTAGAATCCGATAGAAACCAGAAGAATCTAATGGTTTTAACATGGGTGTAAAAATCCTAAGTCAAACCATTAGACACCTTTACAAAACCAGTAGAGCCTAATGGTTTTGAAGACCACTAGAATCCGATAGAAACCAGAAGAATATAATGGTTTTAAAATGGGTGTAAAAACCCTAAGTCAAACCATTAGAAACCTTAACAAACCAGTAGACTGTAATGGTTTGAAGACCAGCAGAAACCAATAAAAACCAGTAAGATCTAATGGTTTGAACATGGATGCACAAATCTTAAGTCAAACCATTAGACACCTTTACAAAACCAGTAGAGCCTAATGGTTTTGAAGACCACTAGAATCCGATAGAAACCAGTAGATTCTAATGGTTTGAACATGGGTGTAAAAATCTTAAGTCAATTACCATTAGGCCTAGAAACCTTTACAAACCAGCAGATCGAGCACATGTCAATGGATTTGAAAACCAGTTGAAACAAATAGAAATCAGTAAGATCTAGCGCCGCCTCTGAATCAGTCTGACTATATTTATTTAAAAACCCCAAAACAGGGATGAAAAACTCTAAAATGTCATTAGTCATTATATTAATAGTTTTATTTTACAGATTGTGCAACATCTTGACATATGCCCTGTAAGGTCTGCAATATTGATCAAGACTATACAAGCCCCAAAACCCCAAAATGCGACTGCCGCCTTTTTTAAACGGCTACACAGCTGGCATCTCTCTGGGCTACACTAGCACTGTGTGTGTGTGCACATGTAATCAATGCATGCAGTGTGTGCGTGTACCCAGCCAGGCCATGCCTTATGACACACACACAAGACAGCAGGACAGCCATTCCTATCCTCAACAGCTACAGGAGCCAGAGCAGAGAGACGAAATCTTTTTATTACTTTGTTTTCCCCTGCTATTCTTCAATATGGGTAAGTCTTAGATTTACCTAATTTATTTGCAATATGTGCAGTAACTGTTTTCTGTTTTGAAACGTAGTAATTAATGTATGATCGTGTCTACTAGGAGTGCTTTCAACGCCTGCCGCAAAGATGAGAAATGTATTGTATTGTCCCATCCATGTATTTTTATGTTAGATCTTGATGCAAGTTTGTGCATTCACCTACACATGGCTTTAAAGGCATCGTTTAACAATGTTAAATCTATGATGCATGGCCCTACGTATTATCAGTGTCAGTGATATGGTGTAATATTGAAGCCCTAACAAAATTGCGCTTCAAAATGATCATGAACTTGATGAAGTGCCTCAAAAAGTAAAAATCTTTGACTTTTGAGTGACCGGTTTTACCATACCGTACTCATTTTCCCCAATAGACTGTAGGTCTAGTGTTATAAAACCATTGGGGAAAACGTTTTTTGAAATTTTGAATTCCAATCATAAATATCTTGATAATCAGACAAGCCGCCGTACCCCCCCCCCCCCCCCCCCCCCCCCGCGCTTATCCCGAAAGAGTGCGTTAAGGCGGTACTCCGTTTCTGCAACGCACCCTAATTTCAAGACAAGCGGGGAAGGGGGCTTTAATCACTTTATGGTGTGTTCGCAGTTTCGCACAATATAAACAGAAGCCCTCATCTGGAAATAAACAGCTAGACCCGTAAATGGTAAACAAAATTCCTCCCCCGCAGGCTGTACAAAGAAGTTTGTAGTAGGCCTACATGTATGTGTGTTGCACATGCATCAACCGTTCAATTTGTTTTAACTTTATTTTTGTTCTTATTAATTGTAGACTCTAGGCATCTTTTGACATCTTTTGCCAAACAGTGGATTCAAAGCATATTGTGGACACAGTAGGCCTATATTGACGTGAGACCATGCAGAAAATGCTACTTTCTCTCGACCTCCTGGATCAGCATTCAGCAGCCTCGTGACACAGTTGAAGCCATTATCGGTAATTGTGTAGATGTACTTGTATTATTTCTGTACATATATTTTTAATTTTTCCCTGATCATGACACTGATTCGAAATGCTTATTTTTCCTAAGTTTCAAATATATAAAATTCAATTAATTTTAGATCACTAAAACCTGCAGGTATATTGCAATAACCGACCATATTTTGTGAGTTTCAAACAGTGTTCTTTTCCCTCCTTAGCAATAGAGCTTTGATTCTACTCTCATCAGCAAACTAGAATTGTATTGATAATTATTTGCAAAAAAATCCTGATTCACGTTTGCATTGACAACAAATGTTTAAAATGCAAAGGTATGTTTTATATTATGTTTGTGAGCAATGAGAGATTATTTTATTTCTGATAAATCTTTGAAACTGCACTTTTCTGACAGAATTCATTATTTAATTCATTGTTTACATTCTAGTTTTAAAATGGATAAAAGTTTTTCTTAACTTGTTTTCCTTTCTTTTTGCTCTATATTCATGCATTAGAATTCTTTGCGTGTATGTACCCTGGATCAAGCAGCACTTGCATTATACAGGAGATTCCACCCAAAATCTAAACCATGAGTCCAAGCTGAAGAGGAATATTTCCAAAATGAGGTCTACACACACACACAGAGGTTACTTTCCCCTTCATTATAGAGATATCGAGAGAGAGAGAGAGATGGGTGGGGGGGGGGGGGGGGGGGGGGGAGTGAGTTATATAGCCACGAACCTGAATAGCTTAGATGTAGAACTGAGATGCCCATTCATGTCACTTGCCATTTTAATGAATTCCAGGGTTTACAAACATACATATTAACACTTTGGGTAAAAGATCTCTGTATTTGCATAAATTTGTTATTACTATTTATGAAGTAGACCTGTTTCATAATGCTTATGTAGTAGATCAGTCTCATACTCGACCCCACCCCCTTCATATCACAATGTCAATTCCTAAAACCTGTGGCAAATTATATAAGTTGGTAATAGAGAAAAATTGAATGAGGTAGATGCAATACAAATCGATTCCAATCTTAAGCACTTAAGACTTTATTCAGGTATGGCACGTGAACCGCCCAAAAAATTCCAAAAATGCTGCAGTTTTGTTTTATGTTTAAAGTGAACTGTAACAAAGGACCTACATGTTTTTGTATATTTTGGACTGCGCATATTCAGTGATCTCTGTATTATAATATATAGAAATGTAAAGCATATAGAACTTTATGTCAACTCCAGCATCATATCTGAACGAGCCTTAAAAGACAATCCAACCCTTGTAATAAGTTCATTGAAATGGAAGCTGAAAACTAAGAGAAATAGAAAGGCGAAAGTTTGAAATAAATCGGGCCAATATAAAGGGAGTTGTAATAATATATAAATATGAGATCACTAAATCCATGCATATCTCAATGAAATGCTAGAGCGCCGTATGGCAGCCGTGCTAAAGCCAGGGTAATAATCGGGAGCGCCAGGAGGGTCAAATCTGACTGACATGAGCGCTACACAAGAACCCACTATTATTATTATTATTACACCTGTAGTCATGGGACAACTCTCCCATTTGTTAATGAAATATAATAAATTCTCTTTTTATTTTAAGTGCCTTCTCCCTTTGAGAACTACTCAAAATATATTATGAATAGCACATTATTACAGGTCCTCTACATAGAAAAGCCACTTGTGAATCATACATTTTGAAGAAAAAAAATATTTAAATCATTTTGTGTGTTGAAATAAATGGGAAAGTAGTCCAGCAGCTCGTCATAGTGACATTACCGATTCAGCCAATTTAAAATGCCCTTTGGTTTAGTGATTACAGCTTTCAACAATCCATAACCACCTTATTTTCTGTCAGATTTAATTTGCTATTTTTTAAAAGTATAGTTGTCTGTTAAGGTTGGATTTCCCTTTAAAAAGTGTAAAGGGTAAGCCCTATGTAACATAATGTGAATAGGCCATTTTCGTTATAAATCAAATCAAAGTGCCGCGGAACAAATTATCTCTTTCACCTATTAAGAATAATTGTATTTCAATAGTCAGAATGCGATATGCAAACATTATGTGTTGTTAGGTAGGGCAAGACATAATGTTTGTCCTACCTATAGTACTAGCAACACGTAATGTATTCAATTTGTATTCTGACTATTTAAATACATTTATTTGTAACAGGTGAATTTAATAATTGGTAATGAGGCACTTAACAAGGACCTACCGTATTCATTAAATTTGATTACAATACGAAAATGACCTACGTACAGTACATGTATTCATATGGATAGGAAATCTTTGAACTGTTATATGTCGTTTTCTGAGGGTTCATAATTTTATAAATTCTAAAGGGTTCATAATTCTACAAATGAAGTAGGATTCCTAATTCTGAAAATGAACTAGGATTCGTAATTCCAAAAATGAAATATGGTTCATAATTCAGAAAATTAAATAGGGCTCAATATACTTCCAAAAGTTTATTATTCTGAAAATGCAAATAGAACCCTTTATCCTTTTTGGAATTACGAACTATCAATATAATGAATCCTATTTCATATTCAAAATAATACCATTTCATTTGCCGAATTATGAACCCTATTTCAATATCGTTATTAACGCCCCTTTTTCAATTCCAGAATTATGCACCATTTATATTTTTCGTAATTATGAAATCTATTTCATTTTTAAATTCAAACCCTTCTTAAATATGGACCATATTTCATTTGTTTATCGATTTGTCATAATTTGTCATAATACACTGTACTATCAAGTTACATTTATTGATGAACAGCATATCACAGCACTTGTCAAAATAGTAAGACCGTAAATGAATTTGTTTTGCTTGTGAATGTAGTAGGCTTATATTATGTAGTACACAATATTACATTTCCAATTGCTGCAACTTCATATCAATCTTTTACATGTACTATGACAATCTACAGGTCAAAATCATGCTTTGCGTAATCATTTGTGAATTATTCTCTATTTAATATAAATGAATGAAGTACTTAAATTTGTGCAAATGAACTTATTCTCCATGGTAGAAAATTACAAACGAAATTTCTCAGCAAAAACTATTTCTCATTGTTTCTACTCATGGTGGCTACCGTAAGATAACTATTGCAAATTGCCAAACCTACTCTTTTAAACATCTTCTCCAAAGTTTCAAGATTGATATCTCTTTGTTAAAACTGGCCATAATTTCTAGACAATAATTAGCCAATTTAACATTGTTTTTTTTTTAATATTTCTTCTTTTGTTGTTGAAATGTGTAAAAAAAAAAATCCTTTTTCATTTAAGCTGTTAACCTTGCTTTTAAACGTTCATGTCATTGTAATCACTATATGATGTATGATATTCTGACAGATAATTAAAGGATACACTGTTAAGTGTTAAATGTGATAAAGATGAACCAACATGATTGTGATGTCTTTTGTTAACAGACGTTTGCGAGGGAAATGGCTGAACCTCGAGAAAATAGTTAATTGTGTTGGAAGCAAACTTCATGCCAGCTCCTGTCATTTTCGTGTCTACTTTGCACACCAGCATGCCCTTTTAAAGTACAAAAAAACAAACAAGGGCTGGCAGATTTTGTGAGGAGTACTGTGTTGGAAGTGCATTGATGTAGTAGAATTTAAACTGATCAAAAAAATGTCAACCATGTAATGTAACCAATGCTGTGGTTCAATTGAGGATTCCTACTTGTGTTCTACTGGTCTCCTACTGGTTCCATTGGGGATTTATACTTGTTTTCTACTGGTCTCCTAATGGTTCCAGTTGGGATTCCTACTGGTCTCCTAATGGTTCCATAAGGGTTTTCCACTGGTCTTCTACTGGTATCCTAATGGTTTCTGTATGGATTCCTACTGGTCTTCTAATGGTTCCAGTTGGGATTCCTACTGGTCTCCTAACGGTTCCATTAGGGTTTTCTACTGGTCTTCTACTGGTATCCTAATGGTTTCTGTATGGATTCCTACTGGTCTCCTAATGGTTCCAGTTGGGATTCCTACTGGTCTCCTAATGGTTCCATTAGGGTTTTTTACTGGTCTTCTACTGGTATCCTAATGATTTCTGTATGGATTCCTACTGGTCTCCTAATGGTTCCAGTTGGGATTCCTACTGGTCTCCTAATGGTTCCATTGGGGTTTTCTACTGGTTTTCTACTGGTATCCTAATGGTTTCTGTATGGATTCCTACTGGTCTCCTAATGGTTCCATGACTTCTTTTTTACTTGTCTAATGGTTCCAGCACTTCTTTTCTACTGGTCTTCTAATGGTTTTTATATCGATTTCTACTGGTCCCCTACTGGTTCCAGTGGGGATTTGTACTTGTTTCCTACTGGTCTCCTAATGGTTCCAGTTGGGATTCCTACTGGTCTCCTAATGGTGCCATTAGGTTTTGCTAATGGTCTTCTACTGGTCTTCTGCTGGTTCCAGTACGATTTTTTTCTACTTGTTTCTAATGGAAAAAGCGCCACTTTCCATATTGAAACCAGTAGAGAATTGACCACTAGAAACCGTTAGAAATCTGTACTGGTTTTCTCTACTGGTTTCTATGGGATTTTCGACCTGGGTAGAAAATGTATTATAATAGTAAATGTACTGTCATGCAAATTTCATGTAAAATTTTACTCCTTCAGTCTTATTTGGTCATATTTCCTCCATGTTTTCTCTCTCTCTCTCTCTCTCTTATTGGTAATGAGAGCCTCTGGTCACAACACAGTATATGAAAGCATGAAAATTTGACTCCTACCCCCATATCAACAACTAAAATGAAATTATTATCATGATGAAGAGAGGAAAACATTAAAAGAAATCCTTTTCCTTTGCTTTTACACATAATACCAATTAAAATTGCTTCTTTCTATTCAGCCTACATTCATCATAGTTATACATTTATTTTAGATTTGAAATGAAATGAATGAAGAATTTGAGAACATTTCTATCGAATAGATGGTATAAAAAATAACACATTAAAGGTAATACAAAGTTTTGGTATGGGGTCATGAATTTGGTTCAAATGAACATATTGGAAGCATATGCGATCTTACAATATTCAGTGATCGCTGTCGCGGTTGAAATCGAGTCTAAAGTTATGAAATTGTAAACAATAAACTCTTTATGTTGTATAGCTCCCTCTCAAGGTCAAGATATCAATAAGCTATAAAACAATGCTTATTGACTAAAATCGACCGATTAGCTATTCCTGTTTGGAAGTTTTATATCACAACTACATATTCTGAGATTTTCATGGTCGCAGCTACCATTGTACGGCCGTAGGCGCTATTATAAATTAATCAAAATTTACCGGGAGCACCGGTAAATCTTTATATTCAATTTTTCTCGAAAGCAGAAGTGTTTCAGGGGCTAAATTTTACAGTGCTTATAATACATCCACAGGGGCATCCATATATATCAAAATTGTAAAGATTCACTATCCACCCAATTTTCAAAATTTCCCAAAACTTTGTATTACCTTTAACTTGTTTTTAACCTCTTGTAGTGCAAGGTTACAAATGAAGTTGAATTGATTTTTTGTTGTTGAAATTGACAGGAGAAATAGTAAACAAGGAGCCCTCTTCTCATGAAAAAAAGATCCAGGCAAGACACTAGGATTTGATTTTACTTGGCCTAATATTCGTACTTCCCAATCGTATATCATTCTGTTGACATTATCTTTATTCATGAAAAATAGTCTTTGTTTATTA